TTCAAGGAACGCGAGGGAGTTAGAGAACTTCCATTAGAGTCTTGAGCAGTATTTCAAGGCATCTGGCATCCAAGAGGATGAGGTAGAACTTCGTATCGCTCCACCTTACTTGTCGATATTGCTATGGTGTGGTGGAGGCGATGTGAAGAAAACGTCGAAAGAGGTATGTGTGTGATGGCAACGTGGGATGATTTCAAGAGAGAAATCAAGAGGCAGTTCTACCTGGATAACGTGGAGTATGAAGCCCGCTCCAGGTTGAGAAGACTCACCCAGAGGGGTGGAATTCGAGAATATGTGAAGGAATTCTCGAAGCTGCTTCTAGAGATCCCGGACATCACGGACAAAGAGGCCATGCACGTCTTACTTCATGGGCTGCAACCGTGGACCAAGATGGAGATGCAACGTCGAGGAGTGCAAGACCTTGCAATTGCCATGGCCACGACATAGTCTTTTGTTGAGTACAAAAGGCAAGAGAGCAGTAACAAAGAGAAGAGTTCAAAACCTAGCAAGGGTGGAGAACAACAATGTCCTTTCAAGGAGGGCACTCACACTCAACAACAACATGTTGTCCCAAGCAAAGGGGGTAAGTACGAGCCAAAACCCGTATCTTGTTTTCTTTGCGATGGACCACATCGAGTGCGAGATTGGCCAAGGAAGGAGAGATTGGCAGTCATGGAGGCTCAAGATGAAGAGCCCAAGGAGGCGGAGGCCAAGATTGGTTCAATCTGCAAGCTTGGCGCGGTGAAGAACGACGTCAAGGAGATCAAGCGTGAGAGGTGCTATGTTCTGGCCCAATTCATGCAAGGTGAGTCAAAAGCCTTGGTGGATACAGGTGCCACAGACAACTTCCTTCGCATCGAGGAGGCAGTCCGGCTGGGTATTGCCTATGAGATGGGGCAAGGGTGACTCAAGACGATCAATTCAGAGTCCATCATGATCCATGGAGTTGCTCACAACGTGCCAGTGAAACTTGGTGGGTGGGAAGGTCTGATCTACTTTTCCGTCATTATCATGGATGATCACCCAGTCATCCTCGGCATCAACTTCCTCGACAAGGAGGGAGTGATCTTGAAGCCCAACTCCAACACGATGTGCTTGGAAAAGGGAGGGACGTTTCATGCGGTCCATCTCTTGAGAGAAGATGACCCCCATAGTGCTTTGTTCGCTATGCAGGTATTGAAGGGGTGCAAGAGGAATGAGCCAACATTTCTTGTGTCCTTGAAGATGGAGGAAGAAGGAGGCTCGAAGGGAACCACAACTCCCATCATAGAAGGTGTGTTTGAAGAATTCGATGATGTGATGCCATCGGAGTTGCCCAAGAAGCTGCCAACAAGAAGAGAGGTGGACCACAAGATCGAGTTTGAGCTAGGAGCAAAGCCCCCTTCGCGAGCACCATACCATATGGCCCCACCAGAGTTGGAAGAGTTGCGAAGGCAGCTCAAAGACTTGTTGGAGCATCGATGTTCTTCCAAAAGAAAAAGGAATGGTCATTGCGCATGTGCATCGACTATAGAGCCATCAACAAGTTGACGGTGAAGAACAAGTGGCCGATTCTCAACATTGCCAACTTGTTCTACCAACTTGGAGATGCGATGTGGTTTACAAAACTTGATCTTCGCTCGGGCTACTATCAAGTGCGGATATCCGAGGGCGACGAGCCAAAGACAGCTTGTGTGACAAGGTATGGCTCTTACGAGTTTCTTGTGATGCCATTCGGTCTCATCAACGCACCAGCAACATTTTGCACTTTGATGAATAAAGTGTTCGAGCCATTCTTGGATCGATTCGTCATAGTGTACCTGGGTGACATCGTAGTGTATAACAAAACACTCGATGAGCATGCCGAGCACCTACGCCAAGTCTTCCAAGTCTTTCGCGACAACAAGTTGTATGTCAAGAGGGAGAAGTGCACTTTTGCCACCACGAGGTTCCTTTCTTGGGGCACATCATCGGTGGAGGCAAGTTGAAGATGGATGGGGCGAAGGTGGATGAAATCGAAGAATGGGAGCCGTCGACGAAGGTGCCAGAGTTGCGTATTCCTCGGCATTGCAAAGTACTATTGAAGGTTCATCAAGGGCTACTCCAACGCTGCAGCACCCTTGACGGATCTTTTGAAGAAAAACAAGGCTTGGGATTGGTTGGAAAGATGCCAAGAAGCATTCGAGGCCTTGAAGGTAGCGGTGATGAAGGATCTCGTGCTCGTGCTCCCCAACCCGACGTTGGCCTACGAAGTGTAGACCGATGCATCTGACTTCGCGATTGGTGGTGTTTTGATGCAAGATGGGCATCTCATTGCCTTCGAGAGTCGTAAGCTCAACGAGACAGAGAGGCGATACACAGTCCAAGAGAAGGAGATGACGGTCGTGGTGCATTGCTTGCGCACGTGGAAGCACTACTTGTTGGGGTCAAAGTTTGTAGTGAAGACGAACAACGTGGCAACAAGCTACTTTCTCACGCAGAAGAAGCTCACTCCCAAGAAAACGAGGTGGCAAGACTTTTTGGCCGAGTTTGACTTCGTCATGGAGTACTATCCAGGCAAGGCAAACTCCGTTGCAGATGCTCTTAGCCGCAAGTGTGCAGCCGCAAGCATCAGCCAACCCGTGTTTCCTTTGAAGGAGTGGATCGTTAAAGGCTTTGGCCATGACCCGTTTGCCAAAACCGTAGCGGAGTACATCAAGCAAGGTAAGACTCGACAGTTTTGGATGAGGGATGAGCTCATCATGACCAAGGGAGAGCGCGTGTTCGTGCCAAGATGGACCAACTTGAGGAAGGAGATCATGAAGGAGTGTCCTGATTCCAAGTGGGTTGGCCATCCCGACATCGAGAGGACGCAAGCGCTCATCGAAGAAGCATACTTTTGGCCGCGTATGAAAGACGACGTGGAGATGTATGTGAAGACTTGTCTTGTGTGCCAACAAGACAAGATGGAGCAAAGAAGCCCGACCGGCTTGCTAGAGCCCTTGCCCACACCTCAACGACCATGGTAGAGTGTAAGCATGGACTACATCATCGGACTTCCTAAAGTCGACGGATGCGGTTACATCATGGTTGTGGTAGATAGGTTCTCGAAGTATGGAGTGTTAATCCCTGGGCCAAAAGACATGACGACAGAGGATGCATCACGACTATTCTTCAAGAACTTGGTAAAGTATTGAGGCATTCCTAGCAACATCGTGAGCGACAGAGATGGGCACTTTACAAACTGATTTTGGCAAGAGTTGTTCAAGACCATGGGCTCTTTCATCCTCAAAGCGATGGACAGACGGAGCGGGTGAATTCCTTGCAGGAGGCTTACTTGCGGCACTATGTGAATGCAAACCAGCGAGATTGGGTGAAGTTGATGGACACGTCACAATTCTCCTACAACTTGCACCGCAGCGAGTAAACCAACACGAGTCCATTCGAGTTGGCGACGGGGCAGCAGTCGTTGACGCCCACAACGGTGGCAACGGGGTATAGAGGCAACAGGCCGGCAGCCTACAAGTTCGGTAAAGGCTGGCACGAGAAGATGGAGATGGTCAAGTCTTACTTTGTCCGCCCTAATAAGAAGATGAAGAAATGGGAGGACTAGAAGAGGCATCACTTGGAGTTTGAAGAGGGAGACATGGTGATGGTGAAGTTCTACCCTCACCGCTTCAAGCATCTCAAGAACGTGCACAAGGGACTGCTTCGCCGCTATGAAAGGTCATTCCCGATCGTGAAGAGGATTGGCAAGGTGAGATATAAGGTGGAGGTGTTGTCGCACTTAAAGATCCATCCTGACTTTTATGTGAGTCAACTCAAGGCTTTCCACGAAGACAATGAGGACGAGCAGCGGATAGAGTCACATCAAGCACCAACACTCGTCATGGCGCATCGTGTCATTCCTCATCGTGGTGTACATCTAAGCTTCGTGGAATACTTGGTCAAGTGGCGCAATCTTCCGGAGAGCGAGGCAACTTGGGAGAAAAAGCTCACACATTGGAAGAACAAGGACTTGATCGAGGCTTTCCATCAAGTGGACGCGACGAGGGCGTCGGGAGCATAGGTGGGGGAGGATGTCACATGTGACAGATAACATGGCGCCAACAAGGTGACAACATGGCGGCTGCACATGTGGCGTGTATGGAAGACTAGTAGCATAGAGATGCTCTTAGGATTCTCCACCTAAATGAGAGCGTAATGGTGCACTTATGAGTCAAATAATGAGTGACATTTATAGAGTGCATAATGGGGTGTGTGTATTGATGTAGAGGGGCATTGATGCCTTGTATCAGGAGAGGCCCATATAAGGAGTCATCTCCCTCGCTTGTAACCCATTCCATCATTTTTTAGAGTAATACACACTAGAGAGTTCTCCCATCTTCTTTGTCTTGTTCTTGCTTTCTTTGCTTGCTTGTGAGTTTGAGAGAAGGCTTCTTAGTTCTCTAACGGAGTTGAGAGCTAAGGCCGTGACAGTGTGCAACGGGAAAAGAGGAACAAAAAGAGGAAATATTATTACATGTCTAACATAATTGACACAACCAAATCAGCGAGAGAGAAAACATGGCCGAGTCATTGTTCTATCAGCTGTCTTCTCCTTGCTCTGTAGCCTTATTTACTTGGTTTATAACATGGTATTACATTGTCTTTTTTCTTAATAATCTGAGTTAGTGGAAGCAATTGGTTTATGATGTGGTTTAGGCATCATAACCGACAATATTAATAGTTAATGTAAGCTAACGACATAATTAAGAGGCCTCAAGATTATGGGACAAGTTAGTATAGTATATGACGGAAGAGAACGCGGATGATCCTTTTGATTTCGTATTGACGACATCGAGCTCAACGACAGTGGTGTTTTGGGACGGCATGCAGCTCAACGACGGCGCTGCTGCTACAAAATTAGCCATCGATGCATGCAACTGTTTTCACTAGTTAACATAGTAGCAGGTACAGTTAAACACCAACAGCAGATCGAAGTTGATTAAAGCTGGTTGATATGATGTTGTTACAATGTGCGAGAACTGCAACTGCGACAGCGTTAATGTTAATGTGTATTGTTGTATTAGTATGTACAGTTGCGGCAACTGGAGACGATGTGTCGCCCCTGACGCCGGGAAAAACTTGGTGCAGCGACAAAGTGTACTCGGTGGCGTATAGTTTCGCATCCGATTTCGATAAAGTTCTCGACGATCTGTCCGAAATGGACTCTGCCCTCGTGCCTACTATCGACGTCGATTTGTGCTCTCCCGACCACAAAAATCCAGTGGCTTATGGGTAGCGAATATGCACCGACGAGGCGAAGCTCATTCCCCGATGCGAGGAGTGTTGCAACGATGCGCAGAGCCGCTTGGTGACTGGGTGTCGGAGCCTCTACAAGGTCGGCGATCAGGTAACGCTTGATGATTGTTTCATGAGGTACGAGGTCTATGATTTCATGTGACAACCCAGAAAGCAGTAACTTCTGTTGTTTAGAAATAAAACTGCTACAGGCAGCGAGTTAAGCACGTGATACTTGGATCTGTGCAACCAACCCTTTTCAAATCTATATGTTGGCTTTCGTTGGAGGAGTTGTTGTTTAATTGCAAACATATAATGTGACAATTCATTATTTGATTGAAAATGAATTACCTGAGGTAAATTAGGGTAAGGAGAGGGAATGATACCACAGGAAACCGAGTTTATGATCAGTAACATGATCGATTCCGTTGGAATAGAATCACCTGCCCAAAAATGTGATAAAAGAAGAAAACTTGAGAAAGTGTCTGCCTGAATTGAGATATAAATGTCAAAAGAGGGGGGTTTTTTTTTTTGGTTTTCTACAAGGAATTGTCCTAAACAGCTGCAGTGTAAAAGTGAGGTTGGTGCCTAGTGAGGAAGGACATTGGTGGTTTGCTATAGGAAGAAGACAACTTCCATCCCTTCCTTCAGAGTTAGTGTGGACAAGGGAAGGACATGCATATATTTCTCTATTCTGAAGATTCAATAGGAAATTTTCCACAATCTGGTCCTATATCCCACTGACATTAGTGCAAGCTCCCACAGCATGTTGGGGATACTTAATAGGTTGACCTTCGACCCTGGTATCTCCGACCAGTTGACTGAAATCTCCAGCATCGGGATGCCAAACTGTTTGCACAGGAAAACCAGCTCGACGTCGAAGCACCATCTGCAAGGTCCCAAGACAGAGACTGACATCAGCCAACAGCCACCAAAACAATAGAGCAAAAACCCATTTGCGACTATTGCTGCATTGGCATGCATATATTCTGCCACATTATGGCAACTTGATATAATATGTATATACCTTTTGAGCCTAATATTTGTGAAAAGCTTCCTTGCAGCAGCCCTTGTAAACATCTTAAAACCACACTGCATGCATTCAATCGTTGTCAGGACAAATAGCCGAAATAATAATGGAGATAACCCTCATGGAACTTCTTCTAAACTTACCTGGGTATCGCGTATACCAGGGCCGGCAGCCATGAGAACCACAATATGGAATCCTTTCATCAGAAAATTACGGTACCATTTCCTCTGAAAGATGAAAAGGAAAACAATTTGATCAAATATGTCAACAATGAAACATTCATGGGAATTAAAACTTGGAGATGCAATCAAACCAGCAAGAAGAGGATCATAAGACTAAACTGTTGCCAAAGCCTTCTCTTCAAGATGAGCACGGGAACCAAATGCAGCTACCGGGATGTCAGCTATCCTAAAACCTGACTTTCCATCCTTGGTATCTTCAGCACTTGCAACTGCACGGATCTGATAATATAGAAAACGCGGGAATCAAAATGTAATTTCGCAAACTCTTCTACATATGCTTCAAGTGACTTCTGACACAGCAAAAAGTTCACAAGATCAAGTCAAAGCCCAGACACAGCAGATTATGGACCTTATTTTCAAGCTTCTCCAGATCGTTAACCTTTGTTGCTCCATCTGCATCCAGCATTAGAAGTATTTCACCACGTGCATGAAGCATGCCCTGTTTGAAAAGGGGTCCACAAATTTGAGAAACTGAAATGCATTTACAATTAACATAATGAGTCGAAAAGGGGAATAAGACTCACTTTTCTAATTGCTTCTCCTTTACCATGATTTCGCCCGAGAAGGATAAACCTTACATTATCAACCGAGTTTTTCCTTACATAGTCAAATGCCACCCTTTTTGTTCCATCAGCACTTCCATCATCAACAATAAGTACCTGTTCAGATTAAAAAATGTATCCCGTTGAGAAATTGGCAGGCATATCATACAGTCTCAATAGCTAACAGTGCATTAAGATTCAAGAACTCCATCAAATGAGTTCCAGATCCCAAATCCAAATCTTGATACTGTCAAACCATGGAAACTAGAGAAGCATACCTCATAAGTAAAAGACTTATCCATTGCTGCCCGTTTATCGAGATAGCTACAGCGTAAAGACACAATATCATCTTTCATGTAATGACAAAGGACAAGGAGTCAACATGAGCTTCCTATATAAAGTTCGTCCCATCGTAGCAGATTAGAGCCAGGGAAAAGTAACACGCTTCTACATACTCAATTGTTTCATCAAGAGCTGCAGGAAGTCTGTGCTCTTCATTGAATGCAGGAATGATCAAAGATATGTACTTTTCGGCAGGATCTACTAGATGTGGACATGGAACCTGGAAAGTGAAAAGAGTGGTTCACATAAGAGATTGTGTTTTCTTCACCAACCTTCAGTAAGTAATTTAAGACCCTACACCAACAGTCAGAAAAATGACTAAACATGCTAATAGCTTATCTTAAAGAGGCTAGCAGAACTCTTTACCCTTCAAAATACTGTGATAAAGACCCACATAGCATATCAGTTTAATTCTCCACTCCAATGGCATTATTAAGATCATTTCAGTGACCATATTCCAAAGATTCAAAACATAACTAAGAGTATATATTGCAGACACCTTGAAATAATGTTTTTAAACTACAACATGAAGCTTGAAATCATCACTTCAGGAATTAATAACAAGTTTTGGTCAACCAAATATGCCAAGTGCATCTGTAAGCCCCAACCTTTCACCCATCTAAACGAAAAGTAAACACCTTTCGGTTCTCATTGCTAATGACCTGCCAAGCTATACTTATCCTTTCGAATAAAACATGCCCAATTCCTACTTCATGTTTCAGGTAGATCCACAAACTCCGAACACACCTCAGTAGATCCATCTTCCCCATCGCCATTCCAGACCACTGACTACTATCCTAACCCAAATGGCAAAATCTCAGACCACTAGAGAGCCAGAACAGCAGAAAGACGTATATCTATTCATATACTACAGCTTCAGAGCCATAACTCGGATGGCCGATGCAAAATTCAAAAGCAGTCACGGGACACATCCTCCAAACCATGTACTAACTCATTGCATTGTCGATATTTTATTAAATTAATGCATCCCATGTCCTTTCTCTTGATCTGCCGAACATTTATCCAATTCTCCCTGAGTTTTATCTTATTGCTCAAGCATCCCCCCACACCAGTACTAATTCTTTCTCCCCGCTAGACCTTCTGCCCCAATCCATCCGTCCAAAATAAACCCCATTTCTCAGTTTCCTCAATTTCACTTCAATCAATTCCTTCAGCAAGCACTTTCAGCATCTCCTTATAACTTCTCAAGCACCTTAACAATCATATCCAGCTGAAGCAACCCATCCACCAATCAGGTTCTTACACCAACCATGGGGAAATGAAAAAGGAAGTAAAGAAAGACACCTACCTAACCAACCAAACAATGTTCTCCCCAAGACGCAAGACTCCAACAAATTGGCAGCAGGGGTTAGATCAGCTGAAAGAACCAACACTAACCTGCTTCAACGAAGTCGGATCCTCGAAAAAGGCAGGAGAATCGATGTGCCTGACAAAGAGGAACCCAATTATCCCAATATTCATTTCACTGATACAAATGAACTGGAACCCAATTAGGGATTGTGAGCTCACTTGTTGTTGTTTCTTCTTCGGTAGGCTTCGAAGAACATTGCGGAGAGGAACAGCGAAGCAACGATGAGAATCAGGGCGAAGAAGAGCTCCGCGATCGTCCACAGGAGCTCCATTCGTTGTCAACCCTGTTTCTGTTAAAGCCGTTTACCTACACGGATTATACCATCGCCTGTAGCGGAAGCTTGAAGGCTTGACAAGATTTCTTTACGAGTTAGTTGAAGACTGCTGCTGTAAAAGTGAAACTCGGATCGGACCGCTGGTTAAGCCAAAACAAGCGAGGGAAAGGAAGTTCAAGTTCTCAAAACGTACTAATTATACTAACACAAATATCTTGAGCAGGCAGCCCGTCTAGCTCAGTTGGTAGAGCGCAAGGCTCTTAACCTTGTGGTCGTGGGTTCGAGCCCCACGGTGGGCGTTCTTTCCATTTTTTCATCTGAAGCCTATTTTTTCAGTATGCCATGATTTACTGTTATGGGAAGAACTAGAGCTCATTACTAGAAATCAAGAAAGTTTGTACATAACGTTGAAGCATAAAAGGTTAGGACAGAGGTTTTCTGGACATTTTGTGACCATAAATGTAATAAATCAACTCGGTTTTATCATGGCTAGTTGCCTAGTTCATTATGCTTAAAGCTCGATCGTAATTGCGAATTAGTTGTACAAATCAAATAACTAAAGTTATTTTAATGATAAATATTGATAGAAACAAAAAAGATATGACGAAGGAATAAATGAGTAATGTGCCCCGTCCTCCCTTTTCGACACAACCCCAACTTCGCCTAGTTATATCTGCTTTTCCACTTTTTCTTGCCCCTCACTTTATATCTTTCCCTTACACTGTGTTTTTTTGGGAAGGAAAATGAGTGGAGGGGAAGAGTTGGGCGGAAAGTGGGAAGCCCAAGAAACTTTCCGCTGTTTCCGAAGAGAGGAAAGTAGGGGGGAAAGGAAAATGGGGCGGAAGATCTACTGTGCAAACCTCACCTCCAAATCGGAGGGAAAGGTTGTTTTGGTGGGCCTTTGTCATTTTTTTGTTTTCTTTTCAAACTCAAACACGTTGGTTGTATAAAAATAAATAACAAACGTTGATGATAAAGCTTAGTAAAAATAAATGCCTCGTAAAAACGGAAAAGAGAAAGAAAAAAAAGAAAGAAAAAGAAGAAAGCTTAGTAGTTAGAAAGTTTATTTTATTATATTTCCGTAGATTTCTAGGAGAGTAGATAATCATAATTAGCCCTAATCCCATAAAAATAAATAATTCTTTTTCCTTATTTTTATAGTTATTTTTTTCCTTTTTTAACTACATTGAAATTTAACTACATTGAATCATTTTTAATTGATTTAGAATGCTTGTCGCTTGATCAATTATTATAAAGTAGGGATGGCAAAAATATCTGTAACCGTGATATCCGCCCGAATCCGACCTAATTGGGTAGGGTAAAACTCGAACCCGAAGGACTGTTAGTGGGTACGGGTAAAACCCGAAACCGAATATTGTGGGTAATGGGTGGGCATGGGTTTCTCACTATCCAACCCAAACTCACCCGATTATAAACATGCATATGTATTTTTCTAGAAATAATCATTAGTTTTCTACCCGGTTCTTATGTGGGTATGGGTATGGGTAAAACCTGAACTACATTGGGTACAATAACGGATATGCACTATCCGCCCCCGACCTGACTCATTGCCATCCCTATTATAAAGTCTCTATTTATATAATAGTCACTTTTTCCGGTACAATCTTTGGTGAGGTTTAGAAAGAAAATACAAATTTTATTCACAATTCATAAGTAGAATATTAATATACAACCAAATTATTTTACTATTACATAATCAATAAAATAACATATGCATCACATTTCCCAATACACACTTTCCTTCTCATTTTCCTTCATAAAACAACATTTTCCTCCCAATTTCCTTCACCTCTAAATCTCCCCTCCCCTCCCCTCCTAATTTCCCTTCGCCTCCCCTCCTTTTCCTCCCTTCCTTCGGAAACATAGTATTAGAGCAATATCCATGAAGGGAAATTTGTAACCAGAAGGAGTTGTAGGGATTTATTTCACTTATCATCTTTAGTGTTGACAGGTATAATTTGTGTGCCCTGTATTGATAAGTGTGATCGGTATGTCTGGTATGTCCCGTAAGAATTATATGAGTATCAATCATAACAAAAATTGTAATGGGAAGAAAGAAGAGGAAAAAGAGGAAAAGAGCACAATAACAATGATATATATTTTGTTCTCCCCCTTCAACTTTTCATTTCAATATTATTGCTCACCATTGTTTACGGGTCGTTTGAATGGAGTATTTGTATGAGTTATTTGGGTTCAAATAACTCACGATGAGTTATTTGGACACAAATAACTCGTTTGACAGCATTTTATTGAAATGAGTTATTTGGACAGTGAGTTATTTGAAATAACTCATACCCATCTGTTATTTTGAAATAACTCGTTTTACCACTCTGCTTTTACCAAATGCGACATGTCAAACACCACATTTGCAAGGTTCAACCAAACAAGATACTTTATTTTAATTACCACTGAAATAAGTTATTTAACTCTACAAATACTCTACAAATTACCACAAGTATGCAGAACATATTCCTTCTTTCCTTCCATTTATTCAAATCACCAAAAACGAACATGCTAAACTCGAGTAGCTCCCAATTCCTACTTCCATCTCTCCTCTCCCTCTCCCTCTAACACAAGTAGTGTAAGATTTCTTACCAAAAAACGAAGTCGAATTTGACCTCGTCCTTCATTTGTTGCTCACTCTCTTCATCCATATCATTTCTCAGACACTTGTGATAAGATTAGTTCAAACATGATAGAGGAGACTATCATCAAAATTGAAACGTATACAATTTCATCCTGATGTAATGCAAACTCAATTCACATAATTGACAACATACTGTTTTAGAAATGCCTTAGGGTGTGTTTGGATAGAATGATTTGAATTTTTTATTTGTGATTTGGATTTTCAAATATCAATTCATGTGTTTGGATATTAATTATATTTGGTATTTGGATTTGTGTCAAATTCATGGGGTGATTTCCAAATATATGTCTAGTGTATTACTTGTCAACTTCAAATACATTTCAATAACTAGTGATTTAAAATACCTACTAACAAAAGAGTGAACCTATTTGTAAAATACTAAAAGTTTAGGTACTATAGTGTGAGGCAAAATATATAAAGGTACCAAAATGTAAGTTTACCATCAAAAGTTCAGGACTGTTTTGTAAAATTTTAAAAGTTTAGGTACTAAATTGTAAGGAAAAATAAATTTGGGCACCAAACTGTAATTTACCAAAATTTATAGTAAGTGACCAGATAATTCAAAATTAATAAATTCAAGAATTCACACTTAATAAATTCTCACACACGACGCATATATATCGAACAAGCTAAAACGGTGAGAGTGTGACACTTTTTATCTACTTTGATGTGTCTAATTTTTTCTGTTCTTTTATTTTGTATTTATGGTTTCCTCCAATATCTCAAAATTCTATCCAGAAAATTTCTTCTCAATGATAGGTTGAGTGTGCATTTGAACAGAGAACAAATAAGAACTCAATTCATGCATAAATACCAACAATTCACACCTAAATATATTTTTATTAATAACAAAACGACGTTAGAAACCATTATAAATAGTATGTTGGTAATCATGTACATCAAATTGATGTGCAAAAGTGCATTATGTGTGTGACTTGTAATTGGGATGTGGCTCTCTGCAGGAATGAAACAAATCACTTCTCAGATCACAAATACATCGTGAAACTCTTCTACCTGGGCTAAGATGACGAGACTTTACACCTCCTCCAGGAAAAAATATGGACTAAATTCGACTATTCTTATATCCTGTTCACTTCCCATTTTGTTTTCTGTTTTTTGTTGTGAAAATAGAAATCAAGAAACAAATAGCAGAAAACATGTTCACTTCTAATTTCTATTTTCGTTGGAAACCAGAATGACATAAATGAGTTAGCTGGCGGAAAACAATAAAAAGACGTTTTGGGGAAACTATGACACGGGTTTCTCCCCGTTGCCTGGCGGAAAATTGTCACAGTGCAGTGTGCACTTATGAGTCCCCCTGTTCGAATCCTACCAGCTACTTCTCTTTTTTCCTTTCTTCTTTTGCTAGCCTGGGAGGCTTCCCACAATCCTATTTACCATGTGTAAATTTTTTAATCCAAACTTTGTTTTTTCTATGTATACCCACCGAAATTGTTTACCCATATATGTTTACAAAATTTCACTTTTCTACATTGTTTAACCTCAATTATAAAATATATGAATTTAAATTAAATAAAGATTAAAAACATTATTTTATTTTAAATGTCTATATAATAATAGGATTTTATGTTGTACTAGTACTTAATTAATATAAGATGTTGTACTTGTATTGTGTTTATTTGTAGTTTAAAAACTATTTAATTCGAATTATAATCATGGCTAGGTTTGTATGGTACTCAATGAACAAAATTGTGGTATTCAAGAATCAGAAAACAATATGAAGCAACTAAACGTGTTTTCATTTTCAGAATTCGGTTTTAGAACTCACCAAAATTCTCAGCTAAACAAGATTTTTTCAGGTTTTGTTTTCTAGGAAATGGCAGCTTCGTTTTCATTTCAATTTTGTTTTCTGTTGTGACAGCTAACAGAAATGGAATGGCAACTAAACGGCCCATTAAGTTTGGCCCGATTTTTAGAAGTGTTTTTCGGATTCAAAAGCTGAAGCCGAGCCAAACACCTCTAAAAGCTCAGCTTTTGAAAAGCTAAAAATCACTTTTGTATAACATAAAAGCAGAAACTCCGATTTGGAGCTTCTGCGAAAAGCTGTTTTGAAAATACAAGATTATCATTACCATATTTTAATCTTATTTCAGAAAATATAAATTTATTTTATTTCAATCATTATAAAAATAAAATAAATTATAAAATCATATTATTTAATATAAAGGTAATCTAACAAGATCCGTATTGACTACTTTTTATTGTTTAGAATTTTTATTCATATTTTATATTCTAAATCTTTTATAGTCATTTTACATAATCTCTCATATTAAAAACACTTCTAATAGTTTTTCAGCCAAACACTCAACTGTTTTTTTTAAGTACTTCTCTAAAAGCTCAAACCAGAAGCTGCTTTTGCAAAACATACAGCAGGGCCATACTAGCCTTATGTGTGATTTTCATGTCAATTTGTGGTATATAAGGATACATGACCTTAATTTTTCTCGAAGCTGCCACCTTGCTTCTTCTGAAATACAAAAATTGGCCCGCAAGAAAAAGAGAAATACAAAAAAAAAATAGAAATGGTTTTTTAGTGTATGGCTAGGCATATCGAAA